TGGCGGAAGTAAAAGTGATGTGTGAACTGCAAATTGCACGAGCTGACAACGGAAATTCGTCGGCTGCCGGCAGTGAAAATCTTTACGATATTCATGGACCCAATTCGGAGTGAAGGATGCTCTGAGTTTCGTGTGGGAAGTTTAACATTCAATCGTTAAGTTTGTTGTGAATTTGAGGGGCAATTATGCTGCTCGTCATAATTTATCGATATCTGGCAACATTTTAACCACAATTGTGTTCAAGGATGGTGTTCATCATTCCATAGGAAATTAAAGCTTTAAGAACATTATCAAGTGGCTTTACATTTCGAGCGTCAGTTCAACATATTAAATCATTTTAGTCTCAAGCAGATTATAACCATCTTAATGTAGAGAGGTCTTATTATAAAGAAGGGTTTTTAGAATGAATTAAATGTATTTCGTACTTGTTTGCTGAAGAGCTCAGATAACTAAAGTCCTGTTATATAAAGTTAGTTAACAATGTGGGAATTAAAAAGGTCTAATTATTTGAAATCTAAACAGAAAAAACAAATTTGTTAGGACCATGCGGTTAGATAGGATGGTATAAATAAAGTTTCGTTTAATTCTTAAATTAAAATCCCTAAAAATTACACGTTCACTCGTTAAAGAGCGTAGGGCTTATTGCAAGTGTAATTACATTTAATTAAATGTTTGATATTAATTTCAATACCAATTTGTTGACCTTTTATTTCCGTAATAAACACCAATTGTCCTTAATTATGAGCGCAGCCTCGCTGCAGTTGGAAGTTCAGGCAGCACGAAATCCCTGAAATCTCTGGCACATTGCTCAGCCGACAACTGCCGCTCCCCTCAAACAACAAGAGACAACAACAATCACGGAAAATTGTGTGTTGCATACCCCTCAGGCGTGGCACGTACTCCTGCCAACTGTCAACGCGTCATTCAGCGCGCTAATTAAGTGAAAAACTATGTTACACACAGACAACCAACGCGCACAAACACACATCTTTTTGACCCAAAAAGCAAACAAAAACACGAGTAAAAAAACAATAAGGAAAGTTTTGTTAGAGTTCTCGACTAGAAGGTACCTGGTACTCTTTTAAAACGAGACTATTTCAAATAAGAATTAGTCATAGATCAACTGGATTTATTTGTAATAGTTACTTCTTAAAAGAAATCCAATCACTTATGCAAGAATCAAACAGGCCTTTTGTTTTACCTTAAATGGGATTATAAAATGGCTAGTGAAACTATTAACAAAAATGTGACTTTAAAAATCTTTTTTTTAAAGGTTACAAATAATTACTTCTAAGATACTTTTGTATTAATCAGTTATAGAAGAATCAAACAAAAGTCGTGAGGCCTTTTACCTAAATTAATTGGCAAGTGAATTTATAAACACAAATTTTCCTTTAAAAATCTATTTTCAATGGATAAAATCACTTATTTCAAATACATTTTTTTATCGAATAACTCAAGTGCTACATTTTAAATAAAAATATCATCAACGAATTTACACTTTTAAAGATATTTATAAAACATTTTAATGATGGTATGAATACCTGAAAACCCGATGATCGATTATTCATCAGTCCAATTCTTACACTAAACAAAATTGTATCCTTCCCCAAGCAAAAGGTTTCCTTACGGGTATCTAAAACATAAACTAAAACCAACATGCCCCTTGGAGTACTGGGTATAAAATGCGCGCAAAGTTGTTGACAATCAGAGGGGCGCAAAGGTGGGGGAGTGGGAGTATAGCTGAACTGGATCTGAGTCCTGAATCCGAAACTTTCTGCTTTCCGTGTGCGCCCACATAATTCGCAACAGCGACAGATGCAAATTTCCCTTCGAGCCCAAAAGGCGCTTAACCCGTTTTCCTGTTGATGGAAAAACAAGCGGAGATTCAGGGCAGAGGTCGGGTCGCTCGAAATCAGAGCAAATAGCTAGGAACAAGGACTTTAAAGCTCAAGTAATAGAGCTGCGTTAAAGACCCGATTGAATTAAAGGGCCAGCGCCGAAAAAAGGAAACCAAGTTGGAAACTAAAGCGTTGGCACGTCCTGCCAGCCAGGAGTCAATTAAAATTTCTATTTGATTTGGCAAATGTCAGTGGCAGGCAGCCGTCTGCTGGCAGACGATTCGGGGGAGACAGGACCTGAAACAGAGACAGGATCACAGGACCACTCGCCCACACAACCGTCCAGACGGAGGAGTACTTGCCCCATCCCATTGTGCTGACCAACTGCCGGCAGCAGTCCAGACAGATAAGAGCAACTCGAAATTGGCTACAGGTAGACAGAGTAAACACAGGATAACGTCTCTCAATGTTCTCGAAAGGAATTTCGCTGGGGAGAGAAGCGATGTAATAAAAATTATCTTTAATTAATAAAACTCCTATATTCCGACATTTTATGGAAGAAAGTACGGAACTTAAGTGTTAGTACATTTAGTTAGCCTATACTCGTTGAGTAAAAATGTTTATTGAATGCGTCAGAAAGTATGTAACAGGTAGGAAGGAAAGTATATAATATAAAGTATATTTTTAATTAGGATCACTAGCCTAGTCGATCCACCCATTTTAGTCCGTCCATCAATTTGTCTGTATGTACGCCGACATCTCTAAATTGTATGTATAAAAGCTAGAAAGTTGGGATTAAGAGTGCAGGTTCTGGGGTTCTAAAGCAGCGCAATTTAGTTTCAGCATAGTGTCACGAGTGCAAAAGTCTGTCTGGCATCCACAATTTTAAAGATTGTATTTCATTGCAAATTTAAATTGATTTTATTGATCAATACCTTTCCACATGCCATTAAACATATCAATTGCAATAATATGTTCAAAGTTCTGAGTAACTATGTTAACAGGTTACAAAGACCTTGTATAGTCGGAAGTGCCAATAAAAATCCCCTAAACATTTTATTTTTAACAGACTATGCGCTGTTTCTTGTTTTAAAGTTGGTTAATTAAGTAAGGGTATCTGCTAGTCTTGTTTAAGTAAACAGATTGCTAGTTTAACAAACTATTTTGCTGCCCAACTAAATAACCTTTTTATAAAACATCTTGTTACTTTTAAAAACAACTGTAGAGATATAAAATCTTATTTTCTTTAATATGTGACTAAAATAAAATGATTAATTTATTGACATATCATTTACCTTATCGTCCTAAATTTTTATTTTATTTGTTTATTTTTGTGGTATTTTAACAAGGAGAGCAATACGTTAATTAATATTTATTTATTAGAATTTAATTTTGTTCAAACCTTGTTGCACCAAATCCAACTGAAATCAAAAGAATTTTCTGTGGAACATCCTTATACAAACGATTGGCATGACGACGCTGTCAGGTAAACGAACCCAACCAGGGCAAAAGATAAGCTGAAGGGAAAACAAACTCAAATTGAGTGCATCCCAGCCAGAGTTGGCGGAGAAGTTGGCTCACAAGCTGCACCGCCAATCCTTTATTTTGATTTTTATGTGGAGCAAGCACTAAAGCTCAATATGAACTAAATCAAAAAGAGGCGTAAAACTAATTTCGAACAGTGCAGAAGCGGCTAAACGAAATTGCAGCGCTCTATAATTTATGGGGTCATAGAAGAAAAGCGGCATAAATACATAAAAAAGCACTATAACAAAAGCGGAATAGCTGGCGTAATTTATGACTTGCGGTTGCTACCTGGCACACACACCTGTGTGTATGGGTTCGCGATAAAAACTTTCTCTGCTGCAATACGTGAGTATTTGGTCCGAAAAGTATGCTACAATAAAGTTTGTTTCGTCGGATATGTACAGCGATATTTGCAGATCGTGGCTGCTAAGCTCTTGTTTTACGTTGAGCTGCAAACATTACTCCTGGGGAATTAAATATAAATTAATTCGGTGCTAGTTTTCTGCAGAGTTTTAATTTATTATTCGCTGAATTTATTCCAATAAAAAACTTCCAACTTGCAGTGACCGGTTTAAAATGCAAAGAGGCAACTAAGGAAATATATTCAATTTATTCAGCGGGCACTAGGTAATTAAATTGGTTACGCAAAAGCTAGCTAATTTAAATTTCATGGCCCAACAATAATTACTTCTGGCCAACCTCGGCCATTTGAAAAACATCTGGCATGGAAATATGATCAGTTTCCTATTAACATATATTTTAATCAAGAGTACCTTTGCTCTAGATCCTCTGGAACTTGATACTAAGAAAATAGATTGCTCTGCCAATGGAACCCTGGAAAAGTGTCCCAGTCCCTGCCCGGAAACTTGTGAATATCTAAGCGCTTCCTGTTTCAATAAATGTGGTGGCCCTTGCGTCTGCAAAGAGGGCTACATAATCGATCCCGATCGCAGGATTTGCGTCCTTAAATCGGACTGTCCAGCTAATATGAAGCAGACTACGCTGCGCAGGCATTATCCAGTGAATATTGAATACTTTGGCTCCTACATACTGTTTAATCTAACGGATTACAAGAGTATTGAAGTGAATATACCTACAAGCTAAGAATAAATGAATGTTTAAATATCAAAATCGATGTTTTTAAGATACTTCTGTCGTAGGATTTTTCAAATTCGCTTAGTTCTATTTATTTATGGTACACTGTAGCCAAAAATTTAAAACTTAAGGTACAGAGAGGAATCGGCCATAGTTGCTAGGACTTTCGGCCGAACTAAATTAATAAATTCAGGTTTACTCAATAACTAATATTTATGAACATGTCAATGGGAAGAGACAGAGATTGTGGCTTAGGCTTGTTTTATGGACCTCACGGTAAATTATAAATTCTTAAAAAACAACTTAGACCGATATCTTTTTAGGGTTTAAGCATAAATTAAGTTAACCATGCAGATAAGATTCGGTTACTAAATGAGGATGTTTACTTAAGAAAATTATCTTGATGAATCAATGCGAATTTTTTTTTAACATTATATCCGGCAAGTCTTCAGGCCTTAAATATTTGGAAACGATTCCTTTTTATTTTTGAACGACACTGATCTGGAAATTCGATGGGAAAAGAAAAAGCACGCAAGGTATGTGGTTTTTGTTTATTTATTGTTAGTTTGGGTGCTGTTTAAACGAGTTGTAAAGCTGCATTCAGAGGGGTACTTAACGCTTTAGGCCACCTTGGTGGCTGGCGCTACAGTCGTCTTGGTGGCGGCTTCTTTGGTTTTCTGGCCCTGGCGTTTGTTCTTGTTGCCCGTTCGCCGCTTGTTGCCGCTGCGTTTGCGTTGGCCACGACGACCGCGCCTTCCCTTGGCCCCGCACCGGCGATTGCCCCTCCTGCGGTTCTTGCGGCCACGCCCCTTGCGTCCGTTCCGCCTTCCGCCGCGTCTGCGATTACGTGGCTCAGCGCGGGACAGCTCACTTTCCTTTTCCAGTTCCTGCTGGGGCTCCTCGAGATCCTGGACTTCATCGGTTGGCTCCTGCTCCTCCTCCGCTTGCTGGTTCTTCACTCCACTCTTTGTCTTGGTGGATGCGGTGTTAGAGGTCAGCTCTTTGTTATCCAGTTGTTTTATCTCCTCGTCCTCGTCGCCTTCTTCCTCCTCGTCCTCATCCTCGTCGCCATCGTTGGCCAGATCCTCTTCGTGCTCCATAATGTCATCGCCATCCTCTTCTTCGTCCTGCTGGACGGCATAATACCTGGCATTCAGGCGCTGGAGGAGACTCAGCTGCTCGGGACTAGGTCTGGCCTGGATGGTGGTCCTTCTGGGCTTGGCCGAGGTGCCAGTTCCAATGCTGAGCAGTGCCACCAGGGCAACGAGCAAGAGCCACTTCAATGACATGACTGTTGGATGCATTATGTTGCGGCACTAACCCCAAACCATGGCTTTTATGGGGACTCAAGGTTCAGCTTTTGGCGGCTGAGTAAACGAGTCGACCTTTTTGTTTGACTTTGGAAAGTGGGTCTTGTGGAGTGGAATATGTTGTTATCAGGAAGCTCGAAGCATTTCCGACACCCTCTTTTTCAGCGCTAAGCAAATTTAAATTAGTTTTTTATTGTTTACGAAATGTTGGAAACAGCTTTGACCGGCCTAATGATGCAGTGTTCCTGAGTCACGTACTTCGGCATTTGGCTCCCAACAATGTGGCTCCGTTGTTAATGTTTAATTGTAGGCACGTACTGGGGCTACAGCAACTGCATAAACATTGAAATTATCTGGCGTTCTCAGGAAAGAGAATGGAACAGCATCAGGCTTTTCGGTGGGCTGTCGGTGGGTGGTTGGTAAGGTGGCCTTAACACGTCCCCACTCTGCTGTCAAATGGAAAAATAATTTGGCAACCTATTGGTCACAGCTGTGGATCAAATATTATTATTCGGGAATAATTTACGTGAGCGTGCGTTGGTTGATTGCGGTCTCGATTAGAATAATGCGCAATAAACAGAGATAGAGATTGTTCATCATAATGGAAAATATGCCAGTGCTTTGGATTCTTTATTTTAATTTTAGTTTGTTTACATTCGTAAATGCATCTCATGCATCTTAGGCTGTTTTAATTAACCAGTTAAGAGGATCAATCGAACTGCTAGGATAAATGGCTGCTTGGCAACCATGGCACATTTGGAGATTACCATAATTGCTTCCATTCCACACACCTCCTTGCATTCATTAAAATTCAAACTTGGAGGCAATTGATTGAATGGCTGCCTCCATTCGCCCGTTTCCCTTTCCTTGCCGCCCTGAGTGACCATTATTCCGTCATCTATCCCATTGCAGGTCCCTGCCCAGCCTCGTACTTCACATGCAACGATGGATTCTGCATACCGATGCGATGGAAATGCGACTCCAAGGCCGACTGTCCGGACATGTCCGATGAGGGCAGCGAGTGCGGTGAGTACCCAATGTGTCCCCCGATCCGTGTAAGTCCGGGTGGAATCCGGGAATCCACAAGAGCTGCCGAACCCCCGCTGGGGACATTAGCAGGCGGTGATTGCTTTATTATTGGTTTGACTGTTTGGTCGGAACGCTTTTTGGCCATTCCCCGTGTGTCCGTCCTAATGACAGGTGGGCGGGCCTAAAAATTCACCGCAAATACATGGCCCAAAGTACCGGGCCCATTCACCGGCTGTCCGTAGCAAATGCAATTAGTTGTCGAACCATTTTTGGCCGACAAATCCGTAAACTGAAAGCCTGTCATGGACCTTAAAAGCCAACTCTGGTCGACTGTCATTGGGAAATTTAAGCGTTTGTCCTTAACACTCTCGAGGGCTGATAAGTGGAAAAAGCCACAAGACTAAAATTAATGTGTGCCCATTTTTATCTTTCTGTTTTTTCCTTCGCTGAATGACAACGGCGAACTGCAACAATTGCTGCTGGCCCGGAGAGTTCTGGCATTTTTAATTTAATTTTTATGGCACTGCAGCCGGAGAGAGAACGACAACGACAACTCAGACGACAAATTGTCGGCAAATATTAATGCAACAGATTATAATAAATGTGCCCGGCACATCGTTGTCATCTACATTCGCCCAACTCCCCCCGCTTTCTCCTTATGTACTGCCCCCTCTCTCCGTTCGCGCAATTTCAATTAAACTGAACTGAACTGAACTGAGTGCAGACATACGTACTGGCACACACACAAAGTTTATAAAGTGTTGTCATATATATAAGCCTCTTGATATATTGCATTTAAACTGGCCTCGTTACACTAGCGACAAAAAAGTTTCCTCAGATCTCCTCTCCATATAAATTTATTCAAATTTATACGCAACTTTTAAATGAGGCTTGACTTAAATGGACTCTCGGGATTTAAAAACTGTGAATATTTGAGCTTTGGCAATATTTTAGTTGCCACTTTTGAGGGAGTTATTTGATGGGGGGCGCAAACCGCTAGGGAAAATTTAAAATGCAAATACATGTGAACTTTTTTCGAAGTTCTAATTTAAAAATAGGAAATGTTTAGGTTTTAAAGGTGTAATTATTTTCTAGGTAGTTGTTGGTTAGCCTCTAGTTTTTGATTACAAATTGTAACAGTAAATGTATACCAATATTTGGTAAATTTTGAAAGAGCTTAAGGTTTAGTTCACAATCCTTCACTTTCCTCCCAATTCACCTTTTTGTTCAAAATGTATTTGTTTACCATTTTCGAGTGTATCAACTTTTACGAGGTCTCTTTCTCATTTCTCTGCAAATGGAATGTGCATGGGAACAGCAGACATTACGGACAATATTATAATATTTTCCTGTTTTCCTAGAGTCATACATTTTTGCTCCTTGTGAGCATTTCAGAGATGCAAATTGTTTGACACAAATAAAAGGAAAATGTGCAAAGAAGAATTCAAATAACGCGTTGTATTCTCGCCGCATTGGAGGTCGAAATCAAAGGCAGCCATGACAATGCCTTGACAGCGGATGGGTGGCATGGGTGATACTCCTTCAGGGGTGGAGAAAGCGGGATCCGGGAGCCAGGAGCACAAGGAGCGACATCCGACCGACATGCGCGACTATAACCATAAAAGCCACATTGGCGACACATGGGAACGGCCAAAAATATTTCGCTTGCCAAGAGGTTAAACTCCAGAGACAACCATTGGACGTGTCCATGTCTCCGTCTGCCGTGCTTCCGTATTCCCGTACTCCCGTACTCCCGTATTCGCGCGGCAATTTCCATGGCGCTGGCGGAGGGCAACACGGATATAATACGTAATAAGCCCAAGGGCATGCAGTCACGGGGTCCAGAGTGAAGTTTACATTTTTTATTTCGCCCCGAACGCAAAGAGCACGGAGCTAACAGGACCAGAAATTTTGTCAGGGGAGCAGTGGAGACGGCGTTCTGGGATGCTGACCACCGCCAAACTGGATCCCGGCATTTATTTAATCAACTCTGGCCCTCGAAAATGGTCAAAAATGATGTTGCCGGCCAATTGTTAAACATTTTCAAGTGCCACGGGGAGCTCAACTAACTGGAAGCAAAGTCAACTCAAAAAATTAACGTTCCATTTAGCCAAGCGTATTTGTCACGGTTATTTTTTCATGGTCCTCCAAGGGTTGGCCATTGTCACCCCCCAAAAAAAAGAATAGAACTCGTTCACTTTAATAAAAGTCGAGCTAATTGGGTAATGACCATGAAGGGGAGAAGGAATGAAAGGGACCTAGGGTTATTTTCCATATTAGAAAGCTGCGTTACCAGATGGTTGCCAGTCTAATTTGTTTCTTTTTAAAATGAATGTATTTCTCTGGGAAAAAATATGTGTGCTATGTTCGGTTCGCCTTGTACTCCATTTACAGATATGGGGTGCCAAATGATAGAAGACATGTAACCTCCCATTTTGCCATAAGACGCAACTACCCCTATTCCCAATTAAAATTTCCCAAAATAGGAGTTACAGCTTAAAAATTGCATGTGTACCCATATTTTCGTAGTTCTCTGGGACTATAAATAACACCTTAAACCTGATAACCATATTGATGACACTTTCCAATTTCCCCCCATACAACCCCATGTAACCCTTCAAATTATAAGTGCCAGGATTACACAGTTATTTCTAGGATTTTCCACTTAAAGTGGAAGTTCAAACTTTTATATCTGCCGAAAGTTGGCCACGGCTGCCCTTGTTTGCGTGTTATTTACGATATCTCGCGAAATAATTCAGCGATTTGTACGAACAACAGCAGAAGCAACTTTTTGTTGGCCGAAAAGCGGACCAGCGAACGAGCCACCGGCCCCAATCCAAGACCACTAACAAACCCCACCATAAATCTTCATTTCGGTTATTGTTATTGTACGGGAGGAGTGTTGTGGAGTGGAGTGGAGTGTACTGAGCTTGGCTCTGTTCTGTTCTGTTTTCCAGCCGGGGCGCCCAAGTGCAACGAGGGACAGTTTCGGTGCGGGGTTACCCGCCACTGCATCCCGAACAATTGGCTCTGCGACGGGGAGTTCGACTGCGGCAAGGGCGACACATCCGACGAACTGAACTGTAAGTAAGCCGCGGGCCCTTCCAGCGCCACCCACTAACCCGCCTCCTTGCTTCCCGGTTTCCTTATTTCGACCAGGCCCGAATGGCGCTACGCCCAAGTGCCGCGCCTTCGAGGCCCAGTGCCGCAACGGCGACTGCCTGGAGTTGTCCCGCTTCTGCGACGGCCGCTGGGACTGTGATAACGATGAGCTGCAATGTGGTAAGTGGGTGCAGCTGACCGAAGCGGCTAATTGGCCCGCCGAAAGCCAACTCAATCGGTTTCCGCCGGCCAATACTGCTAAACAGGGCCAGTATCATAGCGCGGCCAATTATTGTATTGTTATGGAAATGTCTTAATTATCCAATTCGTAATCTAGTTGCGTAGTTATCTCAGGTACTCGAATTTAATATAGGTAAATTGTACAACGAAGTTTAAACTCCAATTCACGAATTCATTTTTTTTAATTATCAAGGTGCCTAGGATATTTGGAAAAGGGAATCTATTTTTATAAAATAAACTAAATACAAAAATAAATTTAAATCTTTGGATTTTTTTTTGCAATCAAATTCGTTTTAAAATATTAATATATTAATACGATAAATTCTATAAATTTTTTTAGACATGTTTACTGAAACCAAATAAGAAAATTTAATCTAACCCTTTAAATTTATTATATCAGCTTAGTTCAACGAAAAGTTTATTCACGTTCTTTGGTTAAATTTGGTAACGCCAGCTACGTCTTATCTCTCGCAACTTCATATAAAGTTTTAGACTCTATCAAAAATTATTTTTCGTAAATACAAAAAGACTCATACAGCAATGCCCATTTTGCATTTTAAATAATTTACTAATAAAACTTAAATGAGTATGCTTTTTGGTAAACTAAAAATAGATTTGAATCTCTAAATTTTCATAAGATTTTTAGGAAGAGTAAACTGACTTAAATTGCAAATTAAATTAAAATTAAACATTAAAATAAGTAAATGATAATCACTACTCGTAAACAGATAAACAGAACGCTGCCTGCGCCGCGCTGAACTGCAGCTATAACTGCAAGCTGACCCCGCAGGGGGCACGCTGCTACTGCCCCAAGAACCAGGTGCCCGAGTCGTCGAACTCCACCCGCTGCGTGGACTACGACGAGTGCTCCGAGCCGGGCACCTGCGACCAGGTGTGCCGCAACACGCCGGGCTCCTACGAGTGCTCCTGCGTCTCCGGCTATGCGAAGACCAAGGGAAGTCGGTGCCGGGCCATCAATGGTAAGGGCCACAGAAACCTCCCGGACCCAGATGCACAACCGGCTAATCCCTCTCAATTTATAGTGCCGCCAACGGAGCCGGCCACGCTGACTTTTCTTTCGCAGGACGGCATACGGCGCATCGGAACCAGTGGCGAAGTCATCGCTCCCACGGGTGCAAAGGATAATGATAAAGTTACGGATAAGGATGGGGATAAGGATGGCGAGGGCAATGAGGAACAGCTGCTGCTCACGCAACCCGTTCGCTTCGTCCACGCCTTCGACGTGTGGCATCGGAATCGCACCCTCTGCGCCCTGCACTTCAGCTGGTACGAACTGCAGATGCGGTGCCAGCGCATCGATGACGTCCGGGTCAACTGGACACTGCCCTTCTCCTCCTTCGTCTCCCCGCAGCAATGTGAGTGACCGTTTATCTTGACCCCGATTGGGGTCCTGGCAAAAGGTATTCTGTTTAAGAATAGAATTTGTTTCCCATTTGTGGTGCTTAAAGGTGACCATCCTTAAAAATAGCTTGGAACTTTACCGTATTTATAGAAATATTTATAAATAACGTGGCTCTACCAAATAGTAATTAGTTAAGTAATTAAATGTTTACTATATCCTATTCGTAAATATCGGCTTGGATAGTATTTCTAAATAAAGCCATCAAGTTAGCTATGGTTATTCATAGAGCCACACATATTTAAGAGCGTTCGAGTTATCGATGCAAAATGCTACGTTCTGGTTTTCATTGCTTGCCTTGGTCTATTTTTTCTTCACAGTCTTCACAGAACTTCGATTGGACTGGCTGTCGGGTAATTGGTATTTGGTGAGCGAGGACGATGGCCTGGTCTATCTGTGCACGAACGCAATGGCTTTCTGTCGCGTGATATTGCAGCAGGTGGATCCGCTGTCATCTCTGGCGCTGGACCCCACAAAGGGCTATATGTTTTACACGGACTGGACGCCCAGTTTGTCGCGTTCGCTGCTCGACGGCAGCAATCGCACTGTTTTGGTCACCGACCAAGTTTACCACCCGAGCAGCGTCACTCTGGACCTGGCCAATGAGTTGGTGTACTGGATTGATATCTATAAGGACGAGGTAGAACGTGTGAACTACGAGGGACAGGACCGTTGGACCCTCAAAAGGGCACCAGATGTAAGTATTAAATGGAAAAAATATTTCCATAGAAATACCAAACTAGGTTCTATTGTTTATATATTAGTGAAAAATTCATTTACATCTTTTTATTTATATATAAAACGGATTTTAGATTAACAAAATTCCGAAACTCATCGTTTACTGTAGCATACTTTTTGGGGCTTGTGATGACTGATTTCTCTTGTTCGCCTCTTTTTCAGTCCCCTGTGCCATTGAAAACCATCCATGCCGTAGAGGTCTTTGAGAACTCAATTTATTTGGCAGCCTGGATGGACAAGGCCATCGTTAGCATCGATAAATTCACGCTCAAGGCCCGCGTCCTCCACGCGAATGTGAGCCGTGGTGCCAATTTAAGGATTTTCCACCGCCAAAAGCAGCCCGAGGTGGCTCATCCATGCCGCGATAACAACGCCGGCTGCAATCAGATCTGTGTGCCCCAGTGGACGAAAGGATTCGCCAGCGCCAAATGCCTGTGCACCGCCGGGTATAAGTTGCACAATCAGACGACCTGCCTGCTCTCCGCCCTCGACAAGTTTCTGGTCTACAGTGATAAGCACCTGGCTAGGATCAGCGGAGTACCGCTGGACACCGAACAAGTGCAGCAGCTGGAGCAAATTGGTGAGCAACCAGATGTCATGGTACCTGTGTACAATGTCTCCAAAACCCTGGCCATCGATGTGAACGTGCGCGGCAAGGCGGTGTTCTATGTGGTCGCGGACTCGGATGCGAGTCTCGCCGGAAAAGAGGAACCCTTGTGCAGCATCCGGAGTCAGTCGCTTAATGGCAGTGTCTCCCGACTGCTGACCCACGGTCTGAAGAAGGTCCACGCCCTGGCCTTTGATTGGATCAACGATCACCTGTACTGGTCCAGCCACCGGAGCCTGCAGGTGGCTCCGTTAAAAAACCTGACCAAGGTGCTTACCTTCAGCACCGACTGCGATGCCATGTAAGTGTGGTTGATAATATAATGTAACCAGAGTTTCTTACAACTGAATCATATTTTAAAGGTCCCTGGAACTCGACCCCACGACCGGGCTGCTCTACTGGACGCAGTGGGAGTCGCAATCCTGCGAGGCCGGCATCTACAGCGCCTGGATGGATGGCACTCACAAGGAGCTGCTGGCCAAGGGCACCGGTGCGATGCCCATGAAATGGCCCCGCAGCCTGGATGTCGATCGTCGCACCAAGGAGCTGTACTGGTGCGATATCCGGCTGGGCACCATTGAAGTCATGAAGCTGGATGGCACAGGGCGGGAAGTGCTCTTCAAGTCGGACCAGTTCCATCCCTACTCGATGGTGCAGTACAATGGACTGATTTACTGGGCTGACAACAGGAACTCCACCATTTGGCGTTTCCACGCGCACCAGGCCAACCTATCCAGCACATTTAGCTCAACGGTGCATTTACAGAGAACCGGAAGAGCTGCAGATCTGCGGATCTTCGATGTGGCCACTCAACCAATGCCCCAAACACCCAGTGCCTGTGCGCAGTCCAAGTGTCCGGGAATGTGTTTGAACACGCCTAAAGGCGCCATATGTCGCTGTCCCGATGGGTTCACGCTCAACGGCACTGGAAGCCACTGCATCCCCCAGCTGGCTCCGTCTCCCATTCGCCCTAATTGCACCTCGGGATTCATATGCCGCAGCACGCGACAATGCCTCGATAGCAAGGACATGTGCGACGGCTTCGACGACTGTGAAGATGGCATCGACGAGAGCTCCGATCCGAAGGGGCCTTGCAACGCCAATACCTGCGACAAAACCCTCAACTTTGTGTGCAATGGTCGCTGCTATCAGAGATCGCTGCTCTGCAGCTCCATTCCCTACTGCTCGGACGGAACGGATCAGGCGAACTGCCAACAAAACACCTGCAACAGCAACGAGTTCACCTGCCACAAAAGCGGTCGCTGCATCCAGTTGACGTGGGTTAATGACGGAGTGGTTGATTGTGGACCGGATGATGACTCCGATGAGACGTCGGAGACAATCTTCGGCAGCAAATGCCCGGAATTTGACTGCAACAATGGGCGGTGTCGTCAGTTTGCCGACATCTGCGACGGCATCGATAACTGCGGGTAGGTTATCAAAGCCTGTGGACTAATTCAGCGTATCTAAAGCCTAGAATCTAAACTAATATTTTTGTATATCTCACTAGAAACAATGCTGATGAAATAGAATGTGAGCTAGAGTGCGGACACGGGGAGAAGTACTGCCGACCCATTGGGTGCTACGGAGAGATGCACATGTGCGATGGGATCCACGACTGTGAGGACTTCAGCGACGAGGCCAACTGCAACCAGACAAAGAGCGACAATCATCCGGTGACTGGATGGAAGGATCTAAGCGAATGTGCTCCGCATGAGTTCGCCTGCCTGGATCCGTTCGAGTGCATCCCGGACTTTCTGCGCTGCGATGGCATTCCGCACTGTTTCGACAAGACTGATGAGCTTAACTGCACCCATATCAATGCTAGTCGATTTGACATGAACGAGACGGTGATCTGTGAGCATCCGGATCGGCTGTGTGGCTTCTCCAAGCAGTGTGTGACGGTGAACCAGCTGTGCGACGGAAAGAACGATTGCGAGGACACAACGGACGAGGGCTTCCTGTGCGCGGATAAGCTGTGCGACCGCGGACATGAGTGCTCTCATCGTTGCCACAACACGCCGGAGGGGTATATTTGCTCCTGTCCCGACCACCTGTACCTGCAACCGAACGGAAAGCGCTGCAGTATGCAGCACGCCTGCGATCACTGGGACACTTGTTCGCAGGTGTGCGAGAACAGCGGCAAGGGCTACGACTGCCGTTGCTTGGATGGATTCGACCTGGGCTACGATCGGTTCTCCTGCAAAAGCACCGCTCCGGATGAGCCTTACGTCATCTTTACGAACAGGCAGGATATCAAAGGTGTCAACCTGAAGACCATGAACGTGGCCAACTTCTACACCTCCTTGAGGAATATTATCGCATTGGATTTCCTGTACAACAACGAATCCAATGTGGAGATATTCTGGACGGATGTGATCGACGACAAGATTTATAGGGGTCAGCTGGTCGGCGAGAGTCTACGAAATGTAGTGGCTGTCATCCACTCTGGACTCTCCACCACCGAGGGATTGGCCGTGGATTGGGTGGGAAAAAACCTATACTGGATCGACTCGAACCTGGACCAGATCGAGGTGGCAAAATTGAATGGCAGCTTTCGGCGTACACTGATTGCCGGCAACATGGAGAGCCCAAGAGCTATAGCCTTGGATCCCAGGGAAGGTCTTCTTTTTTGGACCGATTGGGATGATAACTCGCCAAGAATTGAGCGGGCCAGCATGTCGGGCGATGGCAGACGCATGATCTCCACCAGCTGGCAATTGAACGCCGGATGGCCCAATGGCTTGACTCTAGACTACACTCAAAGAAGGGTGTATTGGGTGGATGCCAAGTCGGATTCAATCAGTAGCACCATGTACGACGGATCTGAGCATCACGTGGTACTCCGCAACAAGGACATACTCTCCCATCCGTTTGCCATCTCTGTGTTTGAGAACTATGTGTACTGGACGGATTGGCGAACCACATCAGTAATACGTGCCAACAAGTGGAATGGAAGCGACGTTCAGGTGCTGCAACGCACCCAGTCCCAGCCTTTTGGCATCCAGGTGATGCACTCCAGTCGCCAGCCCTGGGATCGGAATCCCTGCGGCGAGAACAACGGAGGCTGCTCTCATCTTTGTCTCCTTAGTGGTAAGGGAACCTTCAAGTGCGAATGTCCCCATGTGATGCGCCTGGATCCCAGCAATGAAAGGAATTGTGTGCCTAATGAGCAGGTGCTGCTGTTCGTCATGGTGGACGAGATTCGGGGTATTGATCTCCATCAGCCCAGTCACCTCACCATACCAACTATTCGGCAGTCTCCAAGGGTGAGTAAATAAATCTTACTAAGTATAAACTTTTCGTTAAATTAAGTATTTCCTTTTTCTAAAGTTGGTGGCTCCACAACGCATCGATTTCCTGGTGGATGAAAGTCGCATTTTCTGGTCGGACATTCAGCAGAATGAGATCTCAAGTGCCGGAATTTCGAACGGCCTGATTGAGCCCATAATCAACACCAACATTGAGAAACCCTATGGCTTTGCCCTCGACTGGATTGGCCGAAACTTGTACTTCTCTTCGGGTCAGATCAAGTGTAATATTCTGGCGAGTAACCTAAAGGGTGAATATGTGACCACCATCCACGAGGATCTGAATATGGTGGACAGCATTGTCTTGGATCCCGCTAAGTAAGTCGACTTGCCTATCAATCCGGCTAAGATGAACTCGCTGACCTATAATCGAATATTTTCAGTGGAAAGATGTATTGGATTCACTCTGCCTCCGACGGAAGCCTGTCCCAGTTGGAGCAATCCAATCTCGACGGTTCGGGCCGCTTGTTGATCTATGAGTACGAGAACAATCTCCAGAGTCTGACAATGGACTTCGACTCACAGCGACTGTACTATGCTTACGAGAGCTCGGGAATCGCCTACTACGACATTCCAAGGAACGAAACGCATAAGGTACTGGTGGCCAGTGCAATCACCTCAATCAGTTCGCTGACTGTCTACAATGGAACGCTATATTTTCCGGAAAACATTCAGAGTGTGATTATGCAATGTGAGAAGGAAGCGTGCTCCAACATGTCCTTTCTCAGGGTTAATACGAGTAAGTGCACCTCAAATCCAGGACTTAGTTCCTCTGATTATAAATTGGTTTCCCTTGCCAGAGAGCATTCAGAGCATGAAGATGTTCTATGCGGATGCGCAGACAGGCTCAAATACCTGTGCTCATTGGGCCTTGGGCGGTGGGTGTCAGCACCTTTGCCTGGCCACCTCGTCCACGGAGCACGTCTGCCGTTGCGCCCTCGGCTATGATGTGGAGCCAAACAATCCAATCGGTTGTGTTCCGCGGGCGGAATTTATTTTCTACTCCATCGATGTGTTGCAGGGCGTGGAAATGATTGATCCATCGGAGCAGTTTGACACGCCTTCTCCGGTAAGATATTTTATTCTTCTTTTGAACTTTAAAATTGCTTAACAATTACCTTCCAATAGGCTTTGGTGCCCATTTCCCGGGTAAGTTCGGCCAGCTTCATCGATTATCTGGCGGCAACAGATACTCTTTACTGGGGCGACACCGAGCTGGGCAGTATATCCCGCGTGAAACGCGATGGAACCCAAAGGGAAACCATTTTGGAGGCCCTCAACCTTGTGGGATACAAGCAGCAGGACTGGCTGGGTGGTATTGCCATCGACTGGGTGGCTGGAAACATTTACTGGAGTGACACGAAGCGAAATATCATCGAGGTTGCTCGTCTCGATGGAAGCCATCGATACGTGGTGGTCTCCAACTTGGACAAACCCACGGCTCTAGCGGTGGACCCGTTGCAAGGAATGCTTTTTTATGTAACCCAACAACACATTGGCCGCGTTGGCCTGGATGGCAGTCAACCCTTCGTCTTGGTTAATCAAACGAGAGCCAACTGGGCGGTTGGGAGTCTGGTCCTGGACATAGAAGCCACCAAGGTGTACTGGTGTGAGCGATACCCGGATGCCCTGATGAAGGTTGATTACGATGGAAATCTTAGGCAGCAACTGCTGAATGAAAGCCTCAACAATCCCGTGGCTCTTTCCAAGATGGGAGAGTATTTGTATTGGGCGGAAAACAAGTACAACGAGGGAATCATCCGAGTGGCCCCCTTGGCCAACCTCAGTCAGTCGAAGGTGGTCCTCCAAACGGAACAGGATGCCATTAGGGATCTTAAAATCTACTCCAAGCACCTTCAAAAGGGAAGCAATCCCTGCGCCCACGGCAACGGAGGTTGCGAACAGCTCTGCCTGTTCAATGGAACCAGCGCCATCTGCGCCTGTGCCCACAGTCATCTGTCCTCGGATGGCTACAGCTGTGAGCCCTACGAAAACTTCCTGCTGTTCAGCTATCGGAGCAACATTGAGAGCATCCACATGACTGATCATGCTGATAAAAACTGGCCTGTTCAAATGATTTCCAATTCCAGTTTGATGAGGAACGTGATCGCCATCAGCTATAACTATGAGGAGCAGTTGGTGTACTACTCGGATGTCCAGCTGAGCACCATCAACCAGGTGTACTTTAATGGCACGGGCCAGCGCGTCCTGATAGGCCAGCAGGAGCGGGTGGAGGGTCTGGCGTACGACATCGTCAACGAGCAGCTCTTCTGGACCTCGAACAACAATGCTGCCATCCGGAGCGTGGAGCTGCGACATCTTTCTGAGCACGCGGACCAGAACCTAAACCACGTGAAGAACGTACTCAGTCTTCGGGAAAAGGACAAGCCGCGTGGCATCGCCGTGGAGCCGTGTCTGGGCATGATCTACTGGACCAACTGGAACGAGGAGTCGCCCTGCATTCAGCGATCGTACCTCACCGGATACGGAACGGAGGTTATCATAAAAACCGATATCAAAATGCCCAATGCCCTGACTCTGGACTTGGATCAGCAGAAGCTGTACTGGGCGGATGCCCGGCTAGACAAGATCGAGCGGACCAATTACGATGGCACCAATCGAGTGGTGTTGGCCCACTCCACGCCCAAGCACGCCTTCGCCATGGCTGTGTACGGGGACCTGCTCTTCTGGACAGACTGGGTGCTCCATGCCGTTGTTAGAGCTAACAAATATACAGGCACGGATGTGCTCTTCCTGCGGGAGCATGTGACCCGGCCTATGGGCATTGTGGCGGTTCAGAACAGCAGCATCAACTGCGATGCTAATCAGTGCAAGATCCTGAATGGTCAATGCGAGGATGTGTGCATCCTGAACAAGAGCGGCCAAGCTACCTGTCATTGCACCCGGGGCATCCTGGCACCCGACGGTCGACGCTGCATTGCTCCCGTGAATACGAGCTGCGGCGCCCTGCAGTACAATTGCCACTCTGGAGAATGCATACCCATGGAGCTCACCTGCGACAACGTGACGCACTGCGCGGACGGATCGGACGAGTGGCGCAGCTACTGCATCTTCCGCCAGTGCCCGGAGACGCACTTTATGTGCCAGAACCACCGATGCATTCCCAAGGAGCAGAAGTGCGACGGAGAGCAGCAGTGCGGCGATGGCAGCGATGAGACCGCCCTGCTCTGCAAGTGCCAACCGGATCAGTTCCGCTGCGGAAGCGGCGAGTGCATTCCGCGCAAGTTCCTCTGCGACAACATGAAGGACTGTCGCGACTTCAGCGACGAAAAGACGTGTGCTCCCACTCCCTGTGAGGTGGGCGATGTGACCTTCGTACATTGCGGCAACAGCACGATGTGCATCATGCCCAGCTGGCGCTGTGACGGAGATCCCGACTGTCCAGATGGCACGGATGAGTTGGACTGCGCCAACCGCACCAATGTAAGCTGTGATCCCGGTCAGTTCCGCTGTGCCGCCGGGAATTGTATTGCCGGATCCTGGCACTGCGATGGCGAAAAGGATTGTCCAGACGGAAGCGACGAGATTAACTGCCGCACCGAGTGCCGGGGCAATCAGTTTGCCTGCGACAGAATCTGCATCCCGGCTAGTTGGCAATGTGACGGGAAGAGCGACTGCGAGGATGGCACGGACGAGGGCCCGCAGTGTCCGAGTCGGCCATGCAGACCGCACTTGTTCCAGTGCAAGAGCTCCGGACGCTGCATTCCCCAGAAGTGGGTGTGCGACGGTGAAAAGGACTGTCCCAGCGGCCTAGGCGATGAGGGCAGCGAGGACGAGGGTCCCCAATGCGGAGGCGTCACTCACATCCCAGACTGTCCTCCACCTGCTCACCTCTGTACCAGTGGTAAGTCGGAATTCTTATATCACATTTCAACATTTTCTTAAAGTGCTTATGGTATACCATTATTTTCAAATCCCAAGACCACATTATCTTGTAAATAAGAAACATCTTTGTTTTTTTTTCTTGCGTACAAAGCTTAATTAAAACTGTGTTTGTCACTTATCATTTTATTAGAAGTTTGCAATGCAGTAAAGAAAACATTTTCGATATTTAAGTTAGAAATATTGTTGAAGGGCTTCAAGGGCGAAGTCAATATAGCCATGCTCGTCTGTCCGTTTTATGCAATAAGTTATGCAAAACATTCCCATTCCCAAAAGTAGTCTCTTTGTTATAAATATTATATAGAACTACCTTACAATTTAACTTATAATTAAAAAAAAACCGGATGATTATATCAAATAGCTGCTACAACAGCGATCGATCAATGAGAAAATGAGAGCAAAATAGACATAACTTCGCTTTTTCTAACAAATACGCAATAATATCGAGATATAACAATTTTAAAAATGTTTTTAAATTTAAAATAAAACAAACATGAAAACTATCGGTACTTTTTTGAAAACTAAGAGGTAATTTTGTTTAATTTCTAATTATTAAATTGTTACCTTCGCAGGCCTCTGCATCGACTCTCATTATGTGTGCGATGGGGATGAGGATTGTCCTGGAGGTGATGATGAGTACGAAGGCTGTGTGCCAGCCTTTCTCCCGCACTCCTGCCCTGGCGGATCGCTGATGCACCAGTGTCAGGATGGCCTATGCATATTAAAGAACCTAACGTGCGATGGAAAACCGGACTGCGGCGATGGATCTGACGAGACGAGCAGTCTGTGTGCCCACACACGGGGATGCAATGGCACCGACGACTTCCGCTGCAAAAATGGAGCCTGCGTTCACGCTGATTTGTTGTGCGATCGGAGGAATGATTGCGGCGACTTCTCGGACGAAGAGATGTGCAATGTGAACGAGTGCCTGATTCCGGATATCTGTGAGCACGAGTGCGAGGACAAGGTGGTGGGTTACCAGTGTCATTGCCGGCCGGGGTACAAGGTCCTGCCCAAGAGTCCGCACCTCTGCACGGACATCGACGAGTGCGATGAGCAGCAGCCGTGCTCCCAGACCTGTGTCAACACATACGGATCATACAAGTGTTTGTGCGCAAAGGGTTACGCCCTGGTGGATCACCACACCTGCAAGGCCACCAGCAACGTGTCCATGGAGCTGATCTTCTCGAATCGCTACTATATCCGACAGGTGGACATGGCGGGCAACGGTAGCATACTGATCAACGAGCTTTCCAATGCGGTGGCCCTGGACTACGACTGGGATAGCCAGTGCCTGTACTGGTCTGATGTCACCAGCACCGTGGGTACAATCAAGAGGCACTGCCCCAAGGAAAACAAAACGCAGACCCTGCACCAAGCCATGCTGAAGAACCCCGATGGTCTAGCCGTAGACTGGGTAGCGAAGAATCTGTACTGGTGCGACAAGGGATTGGATACGATAGAAGTATCACAGCTCGATGGAAAGTACAGGAAGGTCTTAATCAACGAGTATTTGCGGGAACCTCGTGGCGTTGCCCTGCATCCGTATCAGCGGCACATCTTTTGGTCTGACTGGGGCGACACTCCGCACATAGGCAAGGCTGGCATGGATGGCTCCAATCCTAAGATGATCATTCGGGATGGCTTGGGTTGGCCTAACGCCTTGACTATAAGTTTTGAGACGCAACAGTTGTTCTGGGGCGATGCCAGGGAGGACACGATCTCGGTGAGCGATTTGGACGGAAATCACACGCGATTGCTGCTGGCCAGAAGCATCAATCCCCTACTGAACCTGCACCACATCTTCGCCATCGCCGTGTGGGAGGGTCGCATTTACTGGTCCGACTGGGAGACCAAGTCCATTGAGTATTGCAGCCTCTTTAACGGACAGAACTGCACCACTTTGATTACCACGATCCATCGACCGATGGACCTACGCGTGTTCCATCCCTACCGCCAGCAGCAGCCCATTAGCGGAAATCCCTGCCTGGCCGCCAACTGTTCCACGCTGTGCGTCCTGTCGCCGGAGGAACCGTACTACAAGTGCATGTGTCCCACTAACTTTGTCCTGGCGGATGACGGGCGCACTTGTCGGGCTAATTGTACGGCTGCCCATTTCGAGTGCGTGAACACTTACAAGTGCATTCCGTTCTACTGGCGCTGCGACACCCAGGACGATTGTGGCGATGGCAGCGACGAGCCGGAGACCTGTCCGCCCTTCCACTGTGAGCCTGGACAGTACCAGTGCGCCAACAAGAAGTGCACCCACCCCTCGAACCTCTGTGATGGCATTAACCAGTGTGGCGACGGATCGGATGAACTGAACTGCGACAAGTTCACCTGCTTCGATACCCATATGAAGTGTGGAGCGACCGCCAACTCGAGTGCCTTCTGCGTGGACAATGTGAAGCGATGCGATGGAGTTAAGGACTGTCCGGGCGGAGAGGATGAATCCGCGTGCACGCCACTCGTGTGCAAGAAGGATCAGTTCCAGTGCGGCAACAACCGGTGCATGCCTTATGTGTGGGTGTGCGATGGGGACATCGACTGCCCGGACAAGTCCGACGAGGCCAACTGTGATAATGTCTCTTGCGGAACCCACGACTTCCAGTGAGTTTACCATTTTAAAGAAATACCAGCATATTAGCTTAACAGCCATTTTCCTCCTTACTTTCAGATGCGATTCGGGTCGGTGTATTCCACTCGCTTGGCGTTGCGACGACGACCTCGATTGCCCCAATGGCGAGGACGAACCAAGCAGCTGCTTCACCTCCAAGGCTACCTGTGACCCCACCTACTTTAAGTGCAACAACTCCAAGTGCATTCCCGGACGTTGGCGCTGCGACTACGAGAACGACTGCGGCGATGGCAGTGACGAGCTGAACTGCCAGATGCGCAACTGCTCGGAGAGCGAGTTCCGGTGTGGAACGGGCAAGTGCATCAAGCACAACTACCGCTGCGATGGAGAGATCCACTGCGACGACAACAGCGACGAGATCAACTGCAACATCACCTGCAAGGAGAATCAGTTCAAGTGCGCCGCCTTCAACACCTGCATCAACAAGTAAGTGGTCAAGATTGGCTTTCTGGAATATGCCAAAAATACCTACTTCTTTCAGGCAATACAAGTGCGACGGAGACGATGACTGCCCGGATGGGTCCGATGAGGTCAACTGCACCTGCCATTCGGACCATTTCAGCTGCGGCAACGGAAAATGCATCATGTCCCGCTGGAAGTGCGACGGGTGGGACGACTGCTTGGATGGCAGTGACGAGAGCTTAGAGACCTGTGCCAAGACCCACTGCCATGCCAACGCCTTCAAGTGCCGCAACCAACTGTGCGTCCGGAACTCGGCGCTCTGTGACGGCGTCAATGATTGCGGCGAGAACGAGGATGAGTCCGATGCGGTGTGTGCGGCGTTGCCGAAGTGCCGGCATGACCAGTTCCAATGCGAGAACGACGACTGCATCTCGAAGGGCTATCGTTGCGACGGGCAGTACAACTGCATCGACGGATCCGATGAGATGAACTGCCAGCCACCGGTTTGCGGATTCGGAAGCTGTTCGCAAATCTGCATCGAAAAGAAAGCGGGCCACTACAACTGCAAGTGCGCGGATGGCTACCACAAGGGGCCGGAGAAGAATGCCACTTGCCTGGCCTCCGGACCGGATCAGATCCTCTTGCTCGCCTCGGAGCAGGAGTTCCGATTTATTCTGCCCGCTAAGCAAGAGGGAACCACCGTAGTTGGGTTCTTCCAGACAGACAGCCTCAAGATCGATGTGTTTGACATACTGATCAGGCCCAAGGACACACTTCTCTTCTGGATTGACTCGCACCACGGCAAGGTTCACACCATGAAGATTGCCACTCCGCATGTGGAGGGTACAGGAGTAAGGGTGCGGCGTGATCTCAAGGAGCTGACCGCATTTAACGTGAGTACACAAGAAATGATTATCATACGAAAGCATACAAATATTCAAAATTTATTACCGCTTAGATTCCCGAATTGGACGATCCAAAATCATTGGCAGTGGACTGGATCTCCCAGCGTGTATACATTATTGATTCCCGGCATAATCAAATCCTGGCAACCGATATTGAGGGTAAAAAGTACATTTCTCTCGTGTCGACGGGCATGAATCCCACGGATATTGTCCTGGAGCCCGAGTCGCGCATTATGATCTGGTCAACGCTGGAGAACGGCATTTTAGTGGCCTCTCTGGACGGCAGCAACAAGAAGAGTTTGGTGGAGCGTGACGTGGGCTGGCCAATCAGCCTGTCTATGGACTATCCGACGGGTCGTTTGTACTGGGCAGATTATCGCAAGGGAACGATCGAGACGTGTCGCCTCAATGGCAAGGATCGCAACGTGGTGCGTCGTTTTGGAAATCGGGAGAAACCCCAAAAGATTGACGTCTTTGAGGACTATCTGTACATCAAGCTCTACGATCAGAGCATCATTAAGATGAACAAGTTTGGCAACGACAACGGGACTTACTTGCTGAAGGGTTATCGGTCGTCTGACATTGGCATTCTGCATCCAATGAAGCAGAACAGAAATAGTAAGTATAAACCCAGAATCTCCATTCGTTTTCCTTAACTGTAATTAAATCAAAACGTTTTATTTTTCCAGTAAGCAATCCCTGCGCCAAGGATCCCTGTAAGTCCTCCCGCTCCCTCTGCATTCTCTCCTCGGAATCGTCCACTGGCTACAGTTGTAAGTGCGCCGAAGGCTACGTGATGACCGATGATGGTGTGTGCAAGGCGCACGCGGACATCCCCGACTACTGCCCGCTTCAGTGCAACCTGGGCACCTGCAAGATCGTGGATCACGTGCCCAAGTGCATCTGCCAGGCGCAATTCGAGGGAGAGTTGTGTGAGCACTATCGATGCTCTGGTTACTGCCAAAACTACGGGGTGTGCTCGGTGGCGCCACAGTTGCCGGGATCCCACGAAACGCCACCTCTAAAGTGCACCTGTACGGCGGGATGGTCTGGAGCAAGGTGCGAGACCTCCATGCCTGTTTGCCAGAGCCGCTGCCACAATGGAGGATCGTGCCTGCTCTCCGAAACGGAAGGCATGAAGTGTAGCTGCCCGAATATGTTCACCGGCGAGCAGTGCGAGCACTGTAAGAATCTCACCTGTGAGAACGGCGGTGTCTGCCGGGAAACCCTAACGGGCACCCCACAATGCGAATGTCCAGATGGCTTCACCGGCAAGCGATGCGAGATCGATGAGTGCGCCGACTTTTGCAAGAACGGCGGATCGTGTGTGATCGGCACAAAGGGCCAGCGTCAGTGCAAGTGCCCCAGTGGCTTTTTTGGCGAGCACTGCGGGTCCAGTTCCTGCCGGGACTTTTGCAAGAACGGAGGAACCTGCTCGGAGCGGGGTGGTCGCCTCAGCTGCACCTGTCCGCCGCGTTACATAGGAGAGAGCTGCGAGTCAGATCTGTGCAAGACCTCTAGTCCGCCGCACTTTTGCGAAGGCTCCAAGGTGCCCATCAGGGATCCCTGCACTCTGATGATCTGTCAGAACGCTGGAACCTGTCATATCATCAAGGGAGTGGCGCTGTGCAACTGCACGGATCAGTGGAATGGCGATTTCTGCACGGTGCCCGTTCCGGACGACAATCCCTGTGTGCGGTACTGTGCGAATGGTGGTGTCTGCCACCTGGATGAGTATAGCCTGCCCCATTGCAGCTGCATTGGGGAGTGGCAAGGAAATGCCTGTGAACTGCCGCCCCTTTGTGTCGGAGGCGAATGCAACGTCTGTCGGCCGGGAAGCTCTATCAACGAATGTTTGTGCGAAAACAACAAGGTGGTGCCGTGTCTGGTGGACAGTGCTGATGCCCTAAAGGGCGAACAGGAACCCACGGAGTCGAGCGGAGTGTTTTCCGTGCTGGCCGTCATCCTGGCTGTGATTCTACTGGTGCTAGCCTTGTTCGCTGGTGCTGTTTACTTCCTTAAGTGAGTTGTTTCTGATGGCATTTTATTAGGCTTATCTAATCCATAATACCTTTTTGCAGGAAACATCGCATAGCTCAGCCATTCTCTCACGCTCGTCTGACAGACAACGTGGAGATCATGCTCACCAATGCCATGTATCGTGGTGATGCAGATGAGGCGCCTACGTTTGCTAACGAAGATGACAAGGTGAGAAAATAAATCCCTAATTTTAATAACTAACTCAAAGTAGCTAGTACCAAATATTTTATTAACCCCATTTCACTTTTTCCATTTACCACAACTAACTCTAGTTTATTTTGCAGGGTAACTTTGCCAATCCCGTGTACGAATCTATGTACGCGGATGCGATTCCGGAGCCAGTGAGCACGGAAATAACACACAGCACGGCTCCGGACGAGCGGAAAGGACTGCTGCAGCACACGCACGACGAGAATCACACGCCGGACATCCTCTGATGATTGACCGGCTGCAACCGGGAGCTGTGCTAGGCACAGTTGGCCAAGGAGATATCCACATCCCAACACTCAATAACGATTTGAACTCGAACAATGGACTGATAGCTTAGCCATATAACGAACTTTTGTAAACGTTGTGTACATTTTGTTTCCTTCTATTATTTTGATATTATTTTAATTTTGGGCCTACCTTGGTCCTCATCCAAAGAGCTCTAACTCGGGCAGCCTTGCTTCCCTTGTTATGTCCCTAATGATGTCCTTATACCGGGAAGTCTTCTTTTCGTTTGTTTACACGTTTTACAAGCAATACGCCTTTTGATAAATGAATTTTTAATATACTTGAATCTGTGTATATCCGAAACGTTTTGTGGATCTGTAAATTTAGTAGTTGGTAGATTTAGTTGAAGCTCGCGAGCTGAAGAGAACGTTGTACATATTTTATACATTTATTGCCCACAAGCAGCCTAGTTAACATTAAACGGAAAAAACCATTCGAGCAGTCACTAACAATTTGCCAATTAGTGAACGCGAGCGAAGTCGAATTCGTCGCTGGAGATTGACCAAATATGCATTTAAATTAATTTAGTCTTCACAATGCCAGGACGACTCAGCGCCAGCATATCCAGAATATATAAATTAACGAACAAGTTGCTTAGGAATAATTGCATCACATAGTTTACACAACTAGAATACTTATGTCTACATGTATGTAGCATTATTTAATTTGCACGATTTTCCAATCAATCGACCTAAAACCGAAAGAGATTTCATGTATAAAATAATGCTCAGATAAAAGCCAAATTTTAACAATTATACAATGTAAAAATGATATTTATGCAGATAATGATGTATGTAATTAATTAAGTAAAGTGCGAATCGATTAACTAACGCGCGACAGCTCACGCACTTCAAAAACCACTGTAAAAACATAATAAATATGCATTAATTCGAAATAAATCGAACTAAGGTGTGTTTCTTCTGGGGGGGACAACAAAGGATCAAGCAAAAAGGTACACAGCAATGCTAATGCCGTAATCACGGATTTTTTCTCAAGGAATTTTACAGCGCCCATATCCTGGGAAAACTAAAGGAAACACTTTTCCACATTCCCATTGCGCAAAGCTGTTCAATCACAACCATCTCACGGATACCGATAGATACACTTGTTACCCACAAGAAAACCAAATCAGCCCGTGAAACCCAGATAGCTGGGTCCATTCAGGACCTATTTGGTTTTGTTCCTCCTTAAGAGATGCAAGCGATTTGAATTTGCCGATGCACAGGTAGCCGGGATACATTTCATCCTTTTCTTGCAGCAGAAAAGGATCACAGGGGCATATTCAAAATGTGTGTGGGAGAGTTCCTGCGAAACACCGCATGACTTTGTTTTCGGCAGGAATAACTCTATTGTGGGCAGGGGAATTTGTCTGTGGGAAAATCACTGCCAGCGATGTAGAATTTTTGGCAAGTTAATTTGTTAAATGACAATTAAATTTGCTGGAATCCCAAAAACAAAGGAGCAAGGCAGGCGCTAAGATGAAATCTGTTAATAATGGAAAACAAGTTTGCCCAAAAATGTGGTAAATGCCCTAATATTTATACGAAATCGAGGTAAGTGCACATTCCCACAGCGATTCCCAGGAAAGAAATCAAAAGTAAAAATAAAAGTGATAGCCGAAACCCCACGGAAAACGCTCAGGATTCCGATCCCAGCATCAAATCACAGCAAACACGACGCACAAAGGAATGAAACCGAAGGATCCAGCGAGACAAGTGGAATGCAAGGAGACGGGGCGGGGAGACCTGCGAACAACCACAAAGCAAACAAGCAACGATAAAGGATCTCAAGGATGTGTGGGAAACACACGAACAAGTGCAACGGTATTTGGAAATGCAAAAGGATAATAGCGTAAAGAGGAAATGGAAATTATGATAATTTTCGATCTCTCGGTGGAGGTGTTGTTGTTTTTCTCACAGAAGGATCGGGTAACAGCAGCGCCGATATGATTGAGTGTGGGAAGTGCCGAGGATCTGAATAGCCGAATATCGGAGGTTCCGAGTCCCAAGTCCCAAGCAGAAAGGTAGAAGGTGGGGGCGACGCTCGACAGCCACACGCAAGGCAGCCGCAGGACGAGAACAGGCTGTTGCGGAAGTTATTACGGAAGTAAAATCAAATTTTGAATAAAAAATCAAAAAAGGGTCGAGAGGAAAAGGAAAGCAAGGGGAAATTTAAAATTGAAGTGGGAAATGAGGATGTAAATCAATTTGTACCTACAATCCTTATTCAATCACTTTCATGAGGATTCTACACTAAGAGGAATTAGAAAAAATTATATATATGAAAAATATAAATTGGTATGAACAAGTATTTCAAAATTTTAATTATATGAATTAATATGAATATGAATTTTACTTTCCCCGATTTTCGTTCTTTGAACTGTTACATATTTTAAAAGAAATGTAAAAACAATATTACGGCTCTCTACTATAGTAGTACAAAATGTTTATAAATTTTATAATGCATCTTTTTATTAAAACTGCATTTATAACCTAAGGACTAGAAACAAATTTATAATTTACAGCTTAGATAGTCTCAGCCTCCACTTCCACAATATCCTGAGTGTAGCCAAACAATCTCTTGAGCATGTTGTAGATTATCATTTGTCGCGTCACTTCCGCTTCGTACTTCATATAGTCCTTGAGACGATTCTGCTTATAGAGCTGGTCCAGCAGATCGAACAGCTCCATTTCTAAGGCTCTTAGTGGAGCTTCTAATTCCGGAGTATGGGTACCAGCGAACAATGCCTGCATATAGATCGTGGAAATCTTCTCCAGAGCGGCATCCAAAGTATTTAGTATGGAATCCTCGGGATCGTGTAAGAGCTTCACAGGGCCCGTGAGTTTTGGAGAAGCTCGGTATTTATGGAGACCATCTTCAGAATCATCGGCCAACGTAATTAGTGGCAGGATCGCCAAAATTAGAGCAACGGGCAGCTTATTTCTTAGCATGGTAACCATTTTTTCCGAATGAATTTTATTGATATATTTTAATGCACGCCTGAAGATCACTGCGCGCTCTCGTTTGCACTTAATTTAGTTGTTCACACAGTGAATAAACGCCGTGGGCTTATATAGCATCGATTGGGAGCTTTCGATTGGGTTATCTGCTCAATCAAACTTTTCAAAATCATTGAACATAAGATGCAAGGCTTTTTCCGGTGCAGTCATATCACTATCAGTTTAATTATTGCTTCCGATTTTCCAATGAAGTCAAGTACTTCATCAATGCGATTTGAAATGCATTTAAAAAACTAGCAAGCTCCACCAAGTTTATAAACTTATGTCCCAAAAACCCTTCAACAAAATAATCGATTGATTGCTTGTTTCGTAGCATTTGTCTTTTATTATCATTATTTTCACTCGTTTTCCAATCATCAAATCTTTAATTAACTAAAAACTAAAATTACAATCGTTATAATGAACTACTAAAATAGAAACGTGAAAGACTTAACGATAAACGCTATACAATGAAATCTACATAACTTAAATAGAAACTCTTTTAATTGATTAAATAATTGAGAAGTAAAAGAAACATTAAAGGTCATAATTAGTTAATGAACTACATAATAGTCGTATAAAAATGCTTAAATGAGAATTACACAAAAAATATACAAAATCACAGCTGAACTTAAAATGAAGAAAGCGAAACGTGGATACATAAAAACATATAGAAGTCGTTGAAACTTAATGGGGTTCTAAAGCATTTGAGTTGGTGATCTTTGAAAAAAATTGCGATGAAATAAATTAACAATGGATAAACGTAACATAGAAGTGGGTTATACTGATGATTTACCAGGGCCTCCAGGCGGAGCTGGACTTTTCGATGGCGCCGGCGAGGAATTTCTTAGAGGAGGGCTCATCCAGGGAGCAGTCACTGGATTCGGCCTCCGCATCCCTGTCCCGCTTGGCGATTCCGCTGGTGGAGCTCACTTGCTGTTGCTGCAAGTGGGCCAGCGATCGCGAGCATCCGCTGCTGTCGTGGCTTCCGGCACTCAGGTTGAGGGATCCGCTGGTGTTGAAGGAGGTCTCGGCGCTGGTCGGCGGCGGAGTGGAGAAGACGCCTGCGAAGCTGTGCTTGCTGATCACGTCCACGGTGGGCGAGGCAGCCCGCGACTCCTCGCCGTGGCTGGAGATGGAGGAGATGGGACTCAGCGGCGGACTGCTCGTGCTGTTCTTAGCCGGCAGCTGCGTTTGCACGGGCAGTGGGTGGACGAGACTTCCCTGAAGATTGGCCGGAGCAGCATTGCTGGCTGGCTTGCTGAAGGCGCTCATCCGGAAGCTCTGTGTGTAGTCACTCAGATGCGTGGGATTGGCAATGCTGGCCAAGGCGGCGCTGGCTGTTCCAGCTGCCACTCCAGTCGCAGATCCTGGCCAGGCGAAGGGTCCCGGAGGCGGAGCCGTGGATCCGGTGTTTGGCATAATCAGGGCGAACTCCCCCGAGGGCAGGCGGGAGGGAATGAGCTGAAGTCCGCCCATTTGAATGGCCGGAGCAGACGACTCCGAGCGGCTGTTGTTGTTCAAGTCCTGCGGCAGCGAGGGGAACAGGGGAGTGGGAGCAGCCGTGGCCGGCGTTGAGGGAAACAAACCTCCACGGTAGCCGTTGCTGAAGTTGCTCATCGAACCAATCTGCTCCAGACTGTTGGCGCAGTTGTTCAGATGGGCGCTGAGTCGCTGACGCACTCCCGTGTCGATGCCGTCCATTTGGCTAACGTAGCGGTTAACCTCCTCGGCGCACTCCACAAAGCCCGTCTTGAACTTCTGGACCACGCCAGGATCCGATTGGATGGCCATGTTTAGCTGCTGGCGCTGCACCGACTGCAGATGCTTCACCGTCATCTCAAGTATGTCGGCCTTCTCCAGTTTGGTATGACGAGCCGGCTAAAAGTAGAGAAAAAGAAGGAACCAAAGTCAGATAATGATGAAATGAAGATGGAGTAGGAGATGGTCGGGCTAATTGTTTGGGGCCCTACAACAAGTTCAACGGCTTGGGAAAAAGCAAAGTTAAGGAGCACGTTTCGTGCCTCATATGTCCAACTATTCGCGTGTAATCTGCAGTCCACTTCAGCCGAGTCCACTCTGTAAATATCACACGACCAAGGTGAGATTCAGCAACTACAGCGAGAAGAACGATCTTCGTACTGTGCACTGAGGGAAAAGGGCTCTAAAGCATATCATTGAATTCTGATTGATCCTTATTATTGAAGTAGTTTTAAAAGAAAATATATATATAAAGCGATTGCAGACTTTGTAGAAAGTTGTTTAGGTTGGAATACTCTCTGGGCAAAAAATATTTCCCACAGAAGAAACCACATTTTAAATTCAGAACTTTGTTCTTGATCTTTCAGATCTTTTTTCGTCCAGTGCGATCTTCGTCATTCTTCGCTCCCCGTTTCTCCGTCTCTTTCTCGCCTTCTGGGACTGCATATTTTAGCAAAAGGTTCCCACGCAGGTCGCTCGCCAGTCCTCCCCGCCCCCTCACCCTTCGAGCCTCACCCTCCCCCGCTCTCCTGTCTGAACCTTTTGTTTACTTTTGCTTTTTTCCCTCAATGTCTTTCTTATTTGATTTTTGGTCCGGCTCTCCTGCAGAATTCTGCGGCGGCAAATTTTACTTGATTTCTGCTTTGTAGTTTTCTCACAGCAGGATCACTCCTTGGAAAACTGGTTTCGTTCGCATCTCCACCGATTTCTGCGTAATTCCTCGACTTGTTAACACTTTTTGGTCTCTTGACTGACTCCTCGTCGGCGCTCTCGTGTAATGATCATCAATAAAATTTAATACTCAATTAGAGCCCTTGGTTTTTGTGTTTTTTTGCCGTTCGAGTGTCGTAGGAGTTGGTTTTTTATATAGTTTTTTGTCCTTTTGTACTTTTGCCGCCCTCGGACACTTGTGTCTCAAGGGTTTTTATGGTCTGACATAATTTATAAGGAAAGTGAACTGATATGGATCGGGAGCCTAGTTTCTAAATCGCGGGCGGACAACTCCTCTTCTTCTCTGACTCATGGAGAGGATACTTACGTCTTTTTTCATGGCCTCCAGGATAAGGGACTTCAGTTCGTTGAGGCAGTGATTAATGCGAGCCCGACGACGTTTCTCCATAATCGGTTTGTTTGTCTAAAAAAGAAAGAAAGGGAAAAGCAATTAGTTAATTGTCGAAATTTGAAAGAAATTTATTGGAAGTTTAATGAAATGTTTGTACAACATTTTATTTTTGGTTTTGTTTGTCTTGATTTTTCTATACAAAATATATGGTATTTGTAATGCAGCTATGTAATTTGATACTGTTTCTATCCCCAGATAAATAATCTCCAGATAAGGATTTCTTACAAATATCTTTTTGGTTTTAATTAGTTTAAAAATGTTGGGAGGATACATCGCAAGGGTTTAAATGACAATATAATGACATGGAACAGTCATTTTGAAATATTCAAAAAGGTTTTTTACTAACTTACTTACTAACTTTACTAACTTACCCAACTCACCTTTCTCAATTCCGCCTTTGATAATCCATTCGGATTGGACGTGCGTCCATTATTGCCATAGCTGTCGCTATAGCCATTGGAGCAGTCGAAGTCGTCATCCGAATTAATATCGTTTTTGTAATCCATTTTGTAACGATTTTAATTTGTATATCCAAGTAAAAAGTAATCCAAGATAGGTCAGCTTCGGTTTGGTTTTTTTCACAACACAATAACTTTGGTTCAAGTACGAAAATAGTTATAACAGTTATTGCACGTACTTTTTAGTAATGTCCGAACAACAAAAACTTAACAAGCGGTACGCGTTTAAGATCGTTTTAGTATGATATCGTATTTCAGTTTTTCATTCGAGGGAGAGCGGCAGACGACCGCGCTCACGGGATGCCAAAAGGATACTGATCCTCAAAGTCGACGAGCACTGACTAAAAACGAATCGAGGCGAAGGCGAAACGAGTCCCCGAGTGAAACCAAGACGCTCGTTTACCTGGCGACGCGGGCAGAGGCAGCGGCAGAGGCAGGTAGACAGCTCAACGATCGCCGTCCCCAGACTGAGAAGTTCCACCGCAGCAGCAGAAGAATTCCACTCAAACGTAGAGTGAGTGAGTGTAAACTATCCCACAGAACCACCCCAATGAGCACTTCGGGTTGGGATGAGTGAGCTATGTTATTCAGATGCAGGCAGAGTTGTCGAGCCGAAGAATTGCGAAATCCAGTGGGATTACGGAAAATAGGAGCTTACCTTAAGTAAACGAACTTAAGCCCGACTCTGATCTAGAAGCAACACAACAATCGGTCAAGTCATTAGTCGCTTGTTAAGAACCAACTCCTGATTTAAGGTGTTTTCTCTTAAATATTCCAAAGACAAATCGCCTTTAAAGAAAACACAGCAAAGGCCATATAACACCTTTAAATTTAAGTTTGTTCTTTAAATAACTGATAAGTGTTACAGTGAATTGAAAAATTTATCAACTTTCAACATTTCTTAGAGTTTTACCAGGTATAGGACCTATTTATTCGGGTCATAAGTTTTATCTAGGTTTTTGAAAACATCCGCGCCATTTAATGAAATGATTTCAAAAGTAAAAACCTTTATAAAAGATTCATTTTCTAAGATCATTTTTCAGTGAACTCTGATCAATATCGGAGAAAATTATTATTCTACTCAAAAATATTTCGAATATGGCTAAAAATTTAAGATCTCTTGCGACAAAAGCCATTGTTTCTGGAAAACAAAAAGTATCAACTGATATGTATAATAAATTGTAAATCAATAAGTAGGATTTTTCGCGACAGATGTTGGTACATACGTCCTCTAGAAGTCCGGCTGTGATTTGGGCGTCTGATGCCTGTTTTAGTCGCACATATTTCACCCTGGCCAAGGGCAAGCTTGATCAATGCCCGTCCAATGATTTGCAATTCATTAAGGAAAACTCCTTGCAATTGTTCAACGCAGCTGTCGCAACCCCCGTGACAACCCAACCCCCTTGCAAGGCGAAATGCTCAGATTCAGATTCTTTATTTTTGCCTGGCCTGCCTCATCAGGAGCGTCTTAAGGGGGTTGCTTGGGATTGGGACCGGGATTGCGACTTACGATAGATCGGAAGATCAGAATCAGACCTGGATCGGTCTGGGGTCTCGGATTCAGGGTCGGGGGCAATCATTACGGAGCTTACCTGACTGGGCCAGTTTTTATAGCCGATCCCCGGCAGATTTTCCTTTTTCAGGCAAATTTATTACTTTACGATGTTGGCAGGATTAAGACCAAAGGAGTTGTCAATAACCATGGTCGCGGGCCATACGCCAGCTGACAGCTGACATAGCAACTACCTATACCTCGATCCCGATTTGGGGAGTTTTGGGTGGAATCGTAAACGTATTGCGCCGCCTGGCAACTCTGGTTGTGCAAAGTGATCCCTCGCGGCTTGAGCGTAAATCCCGTGTTGAGCAATAATCTGTGGTGATCATCCATCATCCACAAGCTCTGCAGCACTGATCACGTCAGCTTTTGTAAATTGAATAAATGCTAGTGCCGTGGCTGTTGAACTAAACCAACTAAACCATGGGGTTCGGTCGAATTGTGGACTGATGAGCATATCACCATGCTTAATAACGATCACTTTGGCTCCTTGAATGCCGCAAATTTGGCCAACATTTTCCCACGAAAACCCCAAATAAACACGATGAGCTGGCAGAAAGTAAAAGAGACTGAGCCGGAGCTGAAGAAACCTCAGAACCATCCGACATATGTGGATCAATCGTCTGGCGAAACGTGCAGAGTCTGCTGCTCGCTTCTGCAGAAACTGAGAATTGAAATTCTATAACGAAGAAACCAGGCAGAAATCAAAGTTCAATATCAGCCCCAAACACCGGTGCTGTGGCTTCTCTTCCTTTTCTCTTTCTTCCCGGCCAAGGGATCAAGGTAAACGCCATTTAGTGTGGCACGATCGCTGCCGATCGGTAGCCCGGCTTGTATCTGTATCTTCCAGTCCTCCTTTTTGGGGCTTCCCGGGCACCGATCCTCGGTGCGTTGTTCCCAACGCACGATTTACACATTAAAACACTTTAATTTTTATTGTACAGCCGGTCGGTTGGGAGCTTCGATCTGTCGACCAGTGACGATCTACTTCCCTCTTTTTTAATCAATTCTGAGGGGACCGGGGGACGAGGCCGGAGACGGAGACCTTTCTCAACCTCAAATTAGTGACTTTGGGAGTATGTATTTTTAGCTGTGGGAACTGCAGTTATTACTTGGGGTGTGCTGGCTGTAACGCCCCCGCACCTCTCCCATATATCTGCTCAAACGTGCACCAAAAATAATGAGCATGAAAAATATGAAACGGTAGCAAATGTGTGAACTGATCCAAACGGAACTAAACCCAAGTGGATTTAGTTGGGGGAATGGGGGAAGGAATAGAACTCCTCCTTCGAGCAAGATATATGTTGATTTAAATGAATTCCTTGTTGATTTTTATGGCGCTTAGCCGCGAGGGAAAAACCTGAGTGAAGTGTGCGGCCTGCGGGGCATTAGAAGTCGTGACGGGCCGCCCAACTATTTGATTGTTTTTTCCTGTGGGATATTTTATTTTTATGAATTTGATAAATGGCCAGCCAGGAGTCGGGCTAATAACTGGAAAGTTCTTTCTGACAGACTCCAAAAAGGGGGAACTGTTTTCCACCCAAAAAAGAGATGAAGGCTGCTATAAGCTATGAGTTCTCAAGAAAGGGGAATTGTCACACTTTTGGTGGTTGAAGCTAGCCTTTTTTATGGCTTTTGGTAATATTTGGTTATGCAGTCAAACATCCACGAATCGAACTTCCCTATGGCGATCCGTATATGAGACAAAATTCATTTATTTTTAAGCAAAAGTTTAATACACGCCATTGATGATTAAATGTTTTTTATAACTCGAGCTTTTGATAAAATCTGTATCGAAATAGAATATATGATAAGTAATTATTTTTGCGAATATCTGTTTATTTAATTATTCTGGTAAATGTTAGTATTCCATGGTCCACTCAATTATTTTTACTGTTTGATCAGCTCCTGATCTATTTATTATTGTATTTATATACCAATAAAAACCGAAACATTTATGGCGCGTAGACTAAAAGATATATTGGCCAAAAACTGCCAACTCAAGATCATTGATCCCATTGATTGGTGACCCATGCCAGCCGATGTAACGGTCACTTGGAAGATCAGCTGCTCCTAAGCCAACATTTGCACTAAACTGTCTCTCGCTCTCGTGCCAAAGATTGCCTCAGCTGCCGACCCCATCCACTCTCCATCCTCCCGGCTGCATCCCCCGTCACTTCTTTGGGCTATGACAACAATGGATTATGGCCCGGACAATGGTCGGCGCTAAGAAAAACTGACTTTCCAGGGGACGACGGGGTTTTCCTTCGGCTTCTAGCGGGCCCTAATTGCTGGCAAACATCTTACATAATGTCGAAGGAGATGCGTCTCGGAATGGATTTCGTATGGAGTGTGCCTGATGCGAGACAGCTGCTGAGGATCACAAAATCTTTGAGGAAGGGTTGCGGGGAGATTAAGTGGGATTTGTTTATTGTAAAGATTTGCGGTTGCAGCTTCGGTGCCACTTTTTTAACCCAACCCTAACATCTGTCATAGAAAACTTCTTGGTTTTTGCCAACCTAAGGGTAAATACAATTTATTTTCAAGAATTAAAAATAGCACATTTAATTGTTCAATGTCAATAGCTGACACATGTATATACATATGATCATAAAAATCTGAAGTTTAAACTATTTATTTCCAAAACAAGTGTTTTCCTAAATTGTATATAATTTTTTTAAAATATTATAACTTATAAATATCTAAGTAAATGTTAAATAAAAAATAGTTCGAGTTTAAGTGCCCGTTACTCAGTTAACCATTTCAGCGATGCTTACATTTTAATCTACTTTACATTTTACACCTTTCACTTTTATTTTCTTGGCGGATACGGGCGTAGGGTCATTACTGATTAACTAGTAGTCCGATTTAAACAATTTTAATTGATAGGTATTGACGAGACCAATACATTCCAGCTAAAATTTGTATTCTAACACTAAAACTTTACGAGTCACAGTTTTGGCGGTTTGTGGGCTTGGCACTCTGAAATAAATTGCGCTGCACAGGAATCTCTAGAATCTGCATGCAAAATTCCAAATTTTTTAATAGTTTCCGAGGTCTCAGCGTTCATACGGACAGACAGATAGACGAGCATATGCCATATGGCTTGATCGACTCGGCTAATGATCCTGATGAAGAATTGTACTTTGCAGGGTCGGAAGAGCTTCCTTCTACTTGTTAAGTTCTTTCCGACGACTCTAATACATATACCCTTTTACTCTAGTAACATGTATCTATAAAAAAAACAGAATTAAAATCAATTGACAGTCAAATTAGTGGGAATAATACAGAACTTACCACAGGGAAGTTGACACTACAGAAATTCTCTTGAAATTCCCTTACGTTACCTTCCCATTTTTCCCCTGACGACAACAACTGTAAATCTTCCAATAAGTACAGTCATCCCCCAGGGTAAAAATCAAGCCACCGCGAGTCATATCAATTCATAAATGCATAATAATTCCGACAGAGGCTAAAATTAAAACAGGAGTCGCTGCGGAATAATGTGAGAAAAAAACTTTCTCACGATCACCTTGATGTCGCGCAGACGGCGTTTAGTCGAAATCCACGTGCAAAAGGGGGAAGTTGGTTCGATCGGGAGGAAGGAAGGAAGGAAACCACCACCAAAGCAGGCGGAGTAGGACGTAGGACGCAGGACCCTCCGATGGTGGTGGTTAGTTCCTCCTCCTCCCCTCCTCCTCCTTCACAGGCGATCGCCAGAAGTGCATGAGAATTTAAATTACAAACAAACAGAGAGAGGCGCACAATCAACGGGCTTTGTCCGTATGCGTGTGTGCATCGGCATGCGATAAAGAGGAGGGGGAGGGTGCCAGGACGAGGCGTGTGTGGGAACCTTTGACGAGGACACTCGAGCATGAAGCGGGTCAGCCGACAGAAGGCAATTATTATCAAGCTCCTTTTTTATGGCAATTCCCACACGCCCACAAGAGGCGTTAGCTTGCTAACCGCTCTCCGAGGAGAATCAAACGGAATTATGGCAAGCGAGAGTATGAGAGAGACGCGAAGGCCTCGTTCTCACCCACGCGAAAGCATCATGTTTAACGGAGAAAAGAGAGCATATTTTCTCTCAAGCTCAGCTTCTTTTTTGCTGCACTCACGGTCATGCGCAACATTGAAACAAAAACCAAAACGAAACAGCAATCACAAAAAACCAAGGGCGTCGAGATTATAGGGGGTCAAAACTGGGTTCCATACAAATGCCTTGACGAAATTAATAAAAACAACTTCTCAACTTTTTAAGAAAAATATGTAATTCTGTTAAACATAAAGCTATGGTTTTGAAATATCTTTACTTTTATTTTCTTAAATCAAAATCACTCCTAAGAAAATATTATATTTCTATGTATAAAGCGAGGACTAGAATATTATCTTACGATCTGCAACTACTATTTGTTAAAAAGTACTATACAATATGTCTTACAGAGAATTAAAGTTAGAAAATTAAGACTTATAGGAGTTCGACTTAATTGAATTTATTGAATTAAGTACTTGTTTTAAAATATTAAAGCATAGCAAACGCAAGGCTTAGTGTTTGAAATGAGTACCAGTTATAGTAGAAAATACTGTTCAAATTTGCATATTATTGCCTGTCTTTATTAAAAAACTTCGAATCTTCTAATAAAGGGAGTTAACAAACCGCAACAACTAAGGCCTTTTCTACCATAGCTTAAGTTTTAACTAAAAGATAACAAAATAATAGAACCCGGTTTTTGTCGTAACAAAGATGCCCCTAACAATCCCCCTCGACGCCACCACTGCTTGAAGGAAAATTCAAAGTCATCCCTATCAACAATTTCTTCCTGTGCATGTTGGCGGGCGATTGTAATGCGATCCCTGGCCACTCAAGAGCAGTGATTCAGGCCAGAAATCTGGAATCCCAAGTGCGGGGACACATGAATGCGTTTCTTTGCCTATTTTTAAACATAACATTCCATTTGGAGTGATAAGGCCACAGAAAACAGTCCTCTTTTGCCCGTTTGCATGTGCATTGCATTTCTCTGCGCCTGTGTGTGTGTATGCGTGGTGCAAGAATTACTCATGCGCTCTCTCCCCAAGCGTCGTTTGGTATTTTCCCGGCTCCATTTCGGTATTTTCCAGGGTCACACTGCGCCGGAGCTGGGCGTTGTTGTTGCCGCCGAGAGCGGAGCAGAAGTATTTAGCGCGTTGCCACCGACGGTCCTACTGACACAGAAAATGCAAAAAAAGTAAGAGCGAAAAAGAGCTGGCGTAGGCGTGACAAAAGCGGTGAAAAAGCAACGGTTTGTGCAAGAAAAGTTTAAGAACCACAGTGAAGCCAAGCAGCGAACGAATATCGAAAGCAAGAGGCCGAATTTGGCGCTATTCCAATGAATAGTCCTCGCTCGAACGCGGTCAATGGCGGCAGCGGCGGCGCCATCTCCGCTCTGCCCAGCACCTTAGCCCAACTAGCTCTGCGCGACAAGCAGCAGGCTGCGTCGGCGTCGGCGTCCTCTGCCACCAACGGCAGCGGCGGCGGCAGCGGCAGCGAGTCCTTGGTGGGCGTCGGCGGACGACCGCCCAACCAGCCGCCCAGTGTGCCAGTGGCCGCCAGTGGCAAGCTGGACGCCAGCAGCGGAGGCGCCTCCAACGGCGACTCGAACAAACTGACCCACGATCTGCAGGAGAAGGAGCACCAGCAGGCGCAGAAGCCACAGAAGCCACCGCTCCCGGTGCGTCAAAAGCCCATGGAGATCGCCGGCTATGTGGGATTCGCCAATCTGCCCAACCAGGTCTACCGCAAGGCCGTCAAGCGGGGATTCGAGTTCACCCTGATGGTGGTGGGCGCCAGCGGGCTGGGCAAGTCGACGCTGATCAACTCCATGTTCCTGTCGGACATCTACAATGCGGAGCAGTATCCGGGTCCCTCGCTGCGCAAGAAGAAGACGGTGGCGGTGGAGGCCACCAAGGTGATGCTCAAGGAGAACGGGGTCAATCTAACACTCACCGTGGTGGACACACCCGGGTTCGGGGATGCCGTGGACAACAGCAACTGCTGGGTGCCCATCCTCGAGTACGTGGACAGCAAGTACGAGGAGTACCTGACCGCCGAGTCGCGGGTGTACCGCAAGACCATCTCGGACAGCAGGGTGCACTGCTGCCTGTATTTCATAGCGCCATCGGGACACGGACTCCTGCCATTGGACATTGCCTGCATGCAGAGCCTGTCGGACAAGGTGAATCTGGTGCCAGTGATCGCCAAGGCGGACACAATGACGCCCGACGAGGTGCACCTGTTCAAGAAGCAGATCCTCAACGAGATTGCCCAGCACAAGATCAAGATCTACGACTTCCCCGCCACGTTGGAGGACGCGGCCGAGGAGGCGAAGACCACGCAGAATCTGCGCAGCCGAGTGCCATTCGCGGTGGTGGGTGCCAACACCATCATCGAGCAGGACGGAAAGAAGGTTCGGGGTAGGCGCTATCCCTGGGGCCTCGTGGAGGTGGAGAACCTGACGCACTGCGACTTTATAGCGCTGCGCAACATGGTCATACGCACGCACCTGCAGGACCTCAAGGACGTGACGAACAACGTCCACTACGAGAACTACCGCTGCCGGAAGCTATCCGAACTGGGCCTGGTGGACGGCAAGGCCAGGCTGTCCAACAAGAACCCCCTCACCCAGATGGAGGAGGAGAAGCGTGAGCACGAGCAGAAGATGAAGAAGATGGAGGCCGAGATGGAGCAGGTGTTCGACATGAAGGTCAAGGAGAAGATGCAGAAGCTCAGGGACTCGGAGCTGGAGTTGGCGCGGCGCCACGAGGAGCGCAAGAAGGCGCTGGAGCTGCAGATCAGGGAGCTGGAGGACAAGAGGCGCGAGTTCGAGCGCGAGAAGAAGGAGTGGGAGGACGTCAACCACGTGACGCTGGAGGAGCTCAAGCGGCGCAGCCTGGGGGCAAACAGCAGCACGGACAACGTGGATGGCAAGAAGGAGAAGAAAAAGAAGGGTCTGTTCTAAGTCAACCCGCTCAAAACCCCACTTCCTCGTCCTCGTCCCCTTCCCCATATACTTAAGCGCTAATCTCGAACACAAGACAAACGAAAGCAAACCCTAGCGTATCCTACACTTATACCTACCGCATAAAGTAATTCGAAAAGTGCATAAATATATCTATTGTTGGGCCCCAGCCGCCCCACAAGGCTTCTATTCGCACAGCAATCGTCCCGCGATGGCGATGCATTTGTTTTCTACATTACTATACAAGTACATATAACACATAGCAGTTGCAGTATTTTACCAATATATATCCACGCATTACTTGACGAGACACATTTGCTAGCCTAATGAATTGAAACCGCAAACGAATTAAATCGAGACAGTAACAAACGGTATTTACAAAATACTTAAGTATCTTAAAGCTTAAATAAAAGTAAAAACAAAAACATAAACGGAAAACCTAAGCAGAAATCACGAGTACGCGGCGAAATTGATCCTAAAATTAATTATAACGAATAACGAAACCATGTATAACGTATGCTATTGATATTGTAATTGTATTTTACCTATTATGCATAATGTCATAAAACACCCGAACCCACACACAAGGCAAAAGCAAAAGCGGCAACAGCAGCAGAAAACATCAAGAAACAGAATATACTCTTGCATTTTACAAAATAAAGTCTTCTCCTTAGTTTAACTACATAAAAACGGAAAGCATTCCATATTGACTTCATTGTTTACTCAACTGCAGCGGAACGTAGCGATCGAACAGGGTGTTCTTCTGATGTGATCTTGTGGCACACTTCAGGGAATTAACAGCGTGACGCTAAGTTTTGAAATACGCATTGCCATGAATGAAGCGTGCATTCTCCAATCTCTGACTAATTTTTTGTTACCCATAGGTACGGCGAGGGTAAATGGATGAGTCATCCATTCCACAGGAGCGCTGGCTTGCGAACGTGGCTTGAGTCAAGCGGATAGTTAAATCACTCGCCGCAAACAATTAAAAGTGTTTACTCCGACCACTGTTAGATGCTTATTGGACCACTGGAAAATCTCGTGGGGGTCTCGAAAGTACAGTGGATCCTATTAAAAGAAACTATGCTTTTCATTTGTTAAAAGTTTCCCTTTATGTCGTTCTTGCCCATATGCGACTCAAGTAATTCCGAAAACCCCGACACTCCCTATATGTCAATACATGCATACAATCTTTCGATTTATGTACCCACAGCTGTGGTCAAGTCAATAGGGAAGCATATTTGAAAGTTATATTTTAAAAAGACAAAAAATATGTGTACTCTATTTCTTTAAAAAATATTTTTAGATAGCCAAAAAATATATTAAGGTCTAAAGTCGTTTTTAAACCTAAACATTTTTTTTGCGGTTTGGTTTAATTTGAACTACAAAAGTAAAAATTTTTGTCCTGAATGCTCAATCAGTTGGTAATAAAGATAAAATAGCGAGCTTTATTTTGTAAAAATTAAGATAATGCCAGATAAGATAAAAAGGTTGGCGAGAAGTAAATATTGGATATATTTACTCATATTATTAACGAGTTGCAAAATCATTATTCTTGGAAGATATATTCATCATTAAGTCCACAAAAATGGCTACCTTATTTATCTGATAGATAACAAGATTTTAATTTTTTTATAATTATTTTCTTGTATACCTATAGGTAATATTTTGACCTGCCTTGTTTGTGTATGAAAGTATTGCAT